GCAACCAACAAAGAAAGTTCCCCTCCATATATAAATCTTTCCTCGACCCTCCATAACAAGGAACTAGTTCTATATTTGTCCTTCTGTGAATAATTTATTTCACTCAGTATAAAGTCCTCCAAGTTCATCCATATAATGCGGTGTTTTGCAGACTCTACATTATTTTTTAGTGCTGCATAGCATTCCAGTATGTATACATACCATAGTTTGGTCATCCACTCTTCTGCTGATGGGCACATAGGTTGTTTCCATCTTTTTGCTATTGTAATTAGTGCTGTGATGAACATGACTGTGCATATATCTTTTCCTGTCCTGGCTCTCACCTCTCTAGAGTATATACCTAGTAATGGGATTGCTGGGTCAAATGGTATCTCCAATTCCAGCTTTCTAAGGAATTGCCATATTGATTTCTACAGTGGTTGTATCACTTCACAGTCCCACCAGCATTGTATGAGAGTCCCAATTTGTCCACATCCTCACCAGAATTTGTTATTTTCTGTCTTGTTGAACCCTGCCATCAGTGCTGGGGTGAGACGGTATCTCATTGTTGTTTTGGTTTGCATCTCTTTGATGGTAATGATTGAGAGCATCTTTTCATGTATTAGTTGGTCACTTGAATATCCTCCTTGGTGAAGTGTCTGTCTATTCATGTCTTCTGACCATTTTTCAACTGGATTGTTAATTCCTTTGGTGTTGAGGTATTGGGAGTTTTCTATAAATCTCAGAGGTAAGTCCCTTGCCAGATATGTAATTATCAGCAAATATGAATTTGTTCCTGTCATTTTTGTTACGTGCTTTTTCATGGTGTTGATTTCTTTGTTCCATATAATTTTCTATGCTGAGCTCGTTTTGTTTATGAATCATGTTATCACTTCCTTTGTTGCTACTGTTTTAGTATTTGTGAAATATTTGTGCTGGTCCTCTTTTTTATTTTGATGGGAAAGTTGATCATTTTTCTTTGACGTTACCCTGTGATTTATAATTTTCTTCCCAAGTTTAGAACAGTCCATTCTATCTTGTAGTTGTCTTGACATCCCTACCATGTGGAAGTTCTGTAACAACACAGATTTTTCCCTCTTTCTGGTTTGTAGTTGTCCTCATTCGTCAATTGATATCTCTGGTTCCCTGTTTACAATCTTGTAGGCTTATTTACTTTGGATACTTCCATAGCTGGGCTGGTTTCTGGGTTATATCATCATGTGTGTTAATTGTCAGTTGTTGCTTGCTGTTGTTGCTTCTCTGTCCAAACGACTCTCTTTAGGATCTTCTGTAAGGTTGGTCTGGTTTTAACAAATTCCCTTAATTTCTGCTTATCTGGAAATGCCCTAATTTCACCATCATATTTGAGGGACAATTTTGCTGGGTACATAATTCTTGGTTGAAAAATTTTCTCTTTCAGGGTTTTATATGGACCATCCCATTGTCTTCTCACCTGCATGGTTTCTGTTGAGAAATCTGAGCTTAGTCATATTGGGTGCCCCTTGTAGGTAACTTTTCATTTTTCCCGTGCTGCTCTCAAATTCTTTCTTTGTCTCAGTTTTGGTAAGTTTGATGATGATTATATGCCTGGGTGATTTTCTTTTGGGGTCTATCTTGTTTGGGGTTTGTTAAGAACACACTATTTTCTAATGGTTCCTTCCCAGTACGTAAAACTGGTTGTCACAGAGCAGTGTAATTATCAATAGTCTTCTTAAGGTCCCCTGAGAGGCAAACTAAAAACTGTGAAGAGAAAAATATGAGAAAAGGTAGATAGATATCCAGAGACACAAGGTGGAGAACCTAGTGGTAAAGCACTAACTCAATGAGCTCCAAACCGAGTAGGCTTCACTGAGGTTCATTATTTATTCAATGAACATTTGGCTGGGTGTCTACCTATTCAGTATTAGGCATTGTAAGGAGAGCTACGACAGGCACAGAGAAGCAGTTATGAGAGTCCAAATGAAGAGAGATAACTTTCCTTGAGACACTTGGGGAAGGCTGCAAGGTAGAGTGAGGTGAGCACTTAGTGGTGGCATCAAGGAGACACAGGGATTCATTGTGAGATGGGTGTTGGGCAACCCAAGCAGATTAATTATCTAGAGTTCACAGAAGGAAGAAACCCCCTTACTTGTAACTCTTAAGACTGCATAATAGATTCCTGTCCTGCTGCCTAGCATCTCTTCACTCAATATATCTTTCCTTACAACTGTATTATCAGTAAAATGGTCTCCTCTAACAACTTTCAGTAGTTCTTCTTTACAGAAGTAGAGAAGGTCAAGCTTATCATCACCCTGGTTACAGGTTCTCCACAACTGGATGCCAGCTAACCTTCCAATCTTATAACCAGCTAAGCCTATTCAGGACACACGCTAACACCACAAAGCCTCTTCATGCTCCTAGCACAACTACCATGTGGGATATATGCCTTTCCTCAGTTTTTCCCCTTCCTCTTGTCAGTTGTGCTCCCATTTCTGTGTGTCCAATTAATTCACCCAACATTCACAGACTGAGCCTGAGTAATGTGTCAGGTACCAAACTAGGTACTGGGAACCAGTAACATTTAATGACAGAAAGTATTAGTGACAATATGCATTTTACAGATTTTTAACAAACTTATAAATTAGCTAATTGAACTATACAATTAATGTAAATTTTAAAATAAAAAACTTTTACATTATTTAATATTTTTTAACTTAAATAAACGTATAGAAATAATCTAATAGATGTACAGATTCAACAGATGTTAACATTTTGTTATGCTTGCTCCAGATGACTCTTAAAAAATGTTACAGATTCAGCCAAAGCCTAAGTCTTGATATCTTCCTCTAACCTCCTTCCTAGACTTCCTCCAATGATAGCAAGTTTTTAGAGTTTTAAATCCAACTCTTCTGTCTGCTGATTCTTATTCACTGTCAAAGTTTTTAACTTGTGTTTTTAAATTTCTGATTGTAAACTCATTTTTAATGGTGTTAGTTTTTCAGCTTGGGATTTCAGAACAGTATAAGATAACTGCATTTGTACTCCAAACCCAAAGTGGAGCAAACTCGGAGGGCCAAGCGTGCATTCCTTTGAAGGTTATAGCTTAAGGCAGTAGTCCCAGGTTCCAAACTGTCACCTTGAGCGTGCCCAAGGCCTCATTTTTCTGTCCATGCAGGGGTGCCAAACAGAAAACCCAAATCATTATCTGGTGCTTGGCAGTGACACCAGACTTGCAGCAGAGGCAGCTCAAATGCTCTGGCTCTCGTTTCCAGTTCCTTCACCATTCCTAGTAGCTTGTACTTTCCTTTCTCTTTTGCCATTTCCTCCAAATATTGACTTTTATTATTGCTGTTGCTGCTATATTTTATCAACTATTTCTAGGAGTTTTTGCAAGAGAATTTCTATGTTAGCTTAGTTAGCTAGGCTGGTGGTTTAAACCCACTAGCCACTCCTCAGAAGGAAGTTTGGGGCAATCTACTTCTGTAGTGATACTGCCTCGGAAACCCAAGGAGGAGTTGCTATGAGTTGGATCTGACTCGACAGCAGTGTTTGGCTTGGTTTGGTTAAATTAATTCTGTAAACATTGAATTAATTTTCTGAATAATGTAGAAATTGTATTTTTCTAAACCAGCTAGCTGGTCCATACTTGTAGAAACATATAATACTATTTTACTGAGTTTGTGACTTGTTCTTTTTGGTGCTAAAGGTGTGTTTATGTTATGTGCCATCGAGTTGTGTGCCATCAAGTTGGGCCTGACTCATAGCTACCCCTCCTTGGGTTTCCGAGACGGTATCACTAGAGAAGTAGATTGTCCAACCTTTCTTCCGAGGAGTGGCTGGTGGGTTTGAACCGCCAGCATTCTGGTTAGCAGTCAAGTACCTTCGGCACTACGCTACCAGAGATAACTTTTTTTTTTTTAAAAAAACAATGGAATTTAAACTAATTCTAGATAAAGAATGATCACAATTTTATATTTCTGTTTTAAAAGGTTCACTGATCTTATTTGTACGCTTTATACTTTACTAATAAGCAAACCAATACGCACAATTCTCAAGGCTTAGATACAAAAAATTCAAATGGACAATTTACCAGCCGAAGAATAAAATTTGTAACAACATCCAGCTAGAAAAGTTAATCTACAAGCATAGTTCTTTTCATGAAGAAGGATTTTTTGGCTATAAATATTAGCAGATACTGACAAGTAATACAATTAATAGTTATAAATAACTGAGAGGGAGTTATTAAGGGCACATCTATAAAAGAGTAAGCAAAGAAAGCTTAAAAAAGTAGTAGAAATATTTTATGTTAAGCTTTATAAGAATGTGTAATTACTAAGAAAGGAATCCATAGATAGGATAAGCAATTACTTTACCAACTGGATCTTGTGACACTAATTTTTATAACAATGTTTTTAAATAGCATAAAAGATGCTGTTTAAATAAAGAACAACTGTGATTATAGGTAGTTTTTTTTTTTTTTTTTAGTAATATACTGTCTTTACATTTACTATATTTGAACACACTAAATTATTTTATATAGTAAATATTTTATCTAATGGTTCTTCAGATTTGTAGAAAGACCCAAAGTAAATGAGGGTATTTTTTTTTTTTTAACGCTTACTAAATGTCATCCATTTAGAAATATTTCTTAATAAAAAAACAAAGGAATCCATTAATACCAGCTCTTCAAAGCACCAACCAATTTGAAGTTAATTTTATCAAATGATTAAAAATTAACTGTAAAAACCATTCTGTAACTGTGTCTACCTATGAGAAATCAAATTTACTAGTACACAAGTAAGTAGTAGCTACTGCTACAGAACTTACCAACACCATATAAAACACTTTAAGCACAGGACTGAAGGATAATCAATATTGCAAGTGAACTCTCAAAATTAGAATAAATTGACATTTTTGGCATCAATTCAAGAAGACATATTAACAGTGACAATACTAATAGAATCATCTGCTGCAACCGGGAAAGCTTAATAAGGCATGTAACTAAAGGACATGTAAAGATAGAGCCATCTTTACATCTGTACCTGGTGCTGGCGATGCTTGGTGATTCTGCTCCAAGCCTACATCTTTCTAGCTGACTGGCAACAATCTGCCTTTCCACTTCCAGTTCTCGGGTGAGTCGTTGAAACTGAAGCTCCTGGGATTCAAGGAAATAAAAGCATATAAGGTGCCAAGGTTTGCTGCTCAGGGAGATTTATGAATGAATGTACATCATAGGAAACATAGGAACACACCCATAACATAATGCTTAGTATGGCTTTGTGAAATACAAATTTTTGATGGAATCATTGGCCTAAATAAACTACTATTTGTAGCTTTGTCAAATTTGAAGGCACCAGGATATCAGCCTTTGTTTGGAACTGAAAACCATACACATCATCTTTTGTCCCCTTTTTTGGGGGGAGGTTCTAACTGAGGTCTTTTAAATGCTACTCAACTGCAGTGTCCTATTAAAACTTAAGGTTTTCAGAGACCTTACTTGATGTGTCTACAGCAGGGGCACATCAAACAATATAAGTTCTTTATCTTCAATGGCTAACTGTTATATTCCTCTTAATGTATGTGAGCATAGCATTAAAAATATACATCCCCATGGTAAGAATCACTTTACTATGTTTGATACAAAGCCTTCTAATTGTTAAGAAAGGAAAAAAAAAACCATCATTCCTATCTCACAGAAAAAGTCTTGCTATATTTGTCTACCATATGAGCAACAAAATTTTGATATTGTCACAAACACATTCATGTGTCACTGTGTGAAGGGGAGAAGTTTAACCAAAAAAAAAAAAAAAAAGTGAAAGATTGAGCCATAATACGGAATTTAAAATTGTATTAAAAAGCTAGCAACACTGCCTAAAGAAATTACATTATGCAATGTATGCTGCATCTCCAAGGTAAACAAGTTCTACTATAGGAGCTGTTTTAACTTTATTTGTACTTACGTCATTGTTAACTTGATGAGATTTTAATAAATAAGAAGCATGTCATTCTATAAAACTACAGATCAAATCAAGTATACTCCAAAGGCTTTAAGCCACAAATAACATCTCCAGTAACACTTCAAGCTCCCCTATGCCTTATCATCTATTTATAAGTCTACACAAAACAAATACTGAACTGTAGACTAATTTGACAATGACTGCTAGTTTAAAGGGAGCTCTGGTGGCACAGTGCCTGAGGCATTTGACTGCTAAACAGAAGGTTGGTGGTTCAAACCCACCAGCCACTCCTCAGAAGGAAGACTGGGCGATCTACTTCCATAGAGATACCACCTTGGAAACCCAAGGAGCGGTCACTGTGAGTTGAAGTGACTTGACAGCAGTGAGTTTGGTTTGGTTTGGCTAGTTTAAAATGCCAAACATGTAAACACTAACCCCAGAAACTAATCAGAAATAAGACTGCTTAAAATATCATTTATAATATTAACATTTGTTTGCAATTAAAAAAAAAAAAAAGAAAAACACATTCAGTCAATAAGTATATTAACTCCTGTGGAGTAAGACAAATGTGCATTCTTACTTGACAGCATTGGCTTGGCAAATTCCACAAGCCATTCTTAGAATAATTTTGAAGAAAGTTACTGATCTCCTTATGGCTTTCTGATATTAAGAATCATTTTCTAATGAGCCCATTGGTGTAGGCCTATTGGGCAGGGCCTGAATGAATACTGTATAACACAAGCATAGTATAACAGGTAAGTGGGACAATGCCCACTTCTAACAATTCCTGGACAGCTGGTTTTTAATTAATGCTCAGCAACGGGAGACCACATAGATTAAAAAAAAACTTGCACAACACTCAGTGCCAGGATAAGTGAATTTAAGACAAATAGTGTGTTTGCCCTTAAATAGCACCTTTTTTTTTTTTTTTTTTTGGTGACAAGTTTCCATTTACTGAGTCCGTTTACTTAATTTTTTATTAAATACCCCTTATCCCACAATACTGCCTGCTGGGCCAAGAAATACACATCAGTGAATCCCATATAGACCCTGAGCTATCACATTACCTTTTTTCTCTGACTTCAGTGCCTATGAGGGACTAAGGATTGTTTTCCTCATTTTGGGACGGCTATAAGTTACTAGGGTAAGAGTAAGATATGTTCCAGATTAGAACACAGGGGGAAAAAAATTTCTTAGACAAAAATTTGTAGTGGATATTTATGTTTGTGGCTACCTGGGACTTCTCAGCATTCTTTCAAGGGAATGGTTGGGAAATTTCCTACATCAAGGGAGAAGCAAGAACTTGCTTTCACATAACTCCTCCCTTGGAAATGGAGATAGGTGACTTTGGTTCTGCCAAGAAGACCCATGCATGCTAGACTTTTGACTCAAGTTCTTATACCAAGATTTTGACTCCAGAAAAGAGAGAGCTCATTTTCTCACCTTTCTTCATCTTCTTGCTGCACTCCCTACAAAAAGCATTCAGGTCAAGTTCCTTACAAGGAAATGATTGCCATACAAATCACTGTATCTAAGGCTTCGTGGTAGCTCATTCAGTGGTTTCCTTATCTGACCAGTTTTGTGGTATGGACAGGGACACTGTGGCCTAGAAACTTAATCTCAAGTCTTGTTTTCCAGTCCTTGCAACAACTCTGGGAATTCACTAATACCTACATAATAAACCCCCTTTCTGATTATTTAGGCATGCTAGCCTCTGTTTCTGGCAATGAGGAACCTTAACTGTTACGTCTATTAGATGTCAGATTGCTAGAAAAGACTACAATGCAACTAACATTGTTTTTTTAAAGTTGAATACTTCCTTTAACATTCTTATGGATGGAACAAAGTCCATTTTACATCTCTACTGGCTTTGGAGCTCATAATTTTGAGTATCACTGCTACTTTTCTCAAAACCCTTTTACCTATTACAAGCCTGCACTTCCCACAAGGAAGACTACATAAAAGGCCCCAAAGTAGAGTGTTATGAAGCTATAAAGCATGGAATTTTTATGTTACTCAGTAACTGTGAATGTGCATGAATACAATTAACGTTTGCTTTGTTGTAAAGTAAGGAGCAATGGTGGTGTTGTGGTTAAGGCATTTGGCTACTAATCATATGGTCGGTGGTTCAAACCCACCAGCTGCTCTGAAGGAGAAAGATGGGGCAGTTTGCTTCCATAAAGATTTACAGCCTTGGAAACCCAACGGGGGTTGCTATGCGTCGGAATCAAGTTGATAGCAATGAGGGTTTTTTCTTTTTTCAAATTGTAAAATTACTAGTATTACTACGGAATGTAATTTGAACACCCGCAAGTGACTGGCACCAACATAGATGATTAGGCTATGAGTATTTGACAATTCAGTTTCTACTGGCTTCTTAGGCTGACTGAAGAGGAAGATTGTGTTACATGGTAATATAAAAACATATCTAATGGTTACTAAAATATCACTTATCAAGATGACTATGTAGAGAAATCATATATAATTATAAAATTTGTATAATTTGTTTTCTAAGTATACATAGCTGATCCTTAAATTAGTATCCAAGAACGGTTATCTAAATCATAGGGGAATCTCACATTTGTTCTGTTTTGAGAAGACAAGGAAAACAATGTCAAAAGCTGTTGCCAAGGATTATTTAATAATATATGAAAATTTCCTCTTAAATTTTGGCAAGTAAATCCATAAACAGAAAGTCAAGGCTACTAATATGCTATAAAAATGGAGTCTATTCACAGGTACTGGATATACTGAAAAATATTTTTTTGAGTGCGAGACAAGGGAAGAAAAGAATACAAAGCTTATGACTGGTGTGTATGGAGGAGAGAGGTATATACTACCCAAGGAAGGACTCTTTGCTCTAGCATTCAGAAAGTGACCTATGCACCTTCAGGGGTGCTTCAAGGGCATGTCCTTCTGGGGTGCTTCAAGGGAATGTCCTTCTGGGCAGATCACATCCACGTACTGATTGAGGTAGGAACATAAAAGCCTGGCCAAGAGTCATTCCAGAGATCTTCTTGAGGTTGGCCAAGGTTTTGCCATGTTGCATAATAGTTGGACTTTTCCCTGGCTCAATCCTGTTTTTCCATCCTGTCTCCTCCAAAAGTGTGGATCCCTAATATTCTGCATTCAAAAGTCCATCTTAATGAGAACTCAACCTCAGACAGTCTTATTTTTTTACTTCCTTTTATACAATGATAAAATTTTTCTCTTGTTCTTACTTTTGAAATATTGCAAAATACTTCAAATGTATAGAAAAGTACAGGCAATAACACTATGAACTTATGTGAACTTTATCTAGCTGCAGCAAATCTTAATATTTTGCCACATTTGCTACATATTTTGTGAGAAATAAAACCATACAGATACAAAGAAATGCTCTGGTTTCTCTCCTGGATTCTTTTTCCTTCTTTCCCCCTCTCCCAAGAAGTCAAACCATTGTTCTGAATTTGGTGTTTATTATTCACATGAGTATTTTATATTATTACTGCTACATACTTATAGATTCATAAATGATAAATATTATTCCTTTGCATTTTCACATAATTTACATATCAGTGGTACAGTATACAGTTTTCTGCAGACTGTTTTTATTCAATTATTTTGAGATCATTTATTTTCACTGCTCAATAGCATTCCATTGCATGAATATGTTGTTGTTGTTATGTGCCGTTGAGTCGGCCCCGACTCATAGTGACCCCTCCTTGGGTTTCCGAGGCAGTATCACTATGGAAGTAGATTGCCCCATCTTCCTTCCGAGGAGTGGCTGGTGGATTTGAAGCGCCAGCCTTCTGGTTAGCAGTCAAGTGCCTTAGCCACTATGCTACCAGAGCTCCCTGCATGAATATAGCACAGTGTATTCTTATGCTCCCATTATGATCAACCCTTCAGATGTTTCCAATTTTATGCAATTATAAGCATGCTGCAAAATATACATCTTTCTATAAGCCACCTTGTGCACATGTGCTAGCCTTCTCCAGGATAGAGACCTAGCCATGGATTTGCTGGGTGCTAGGGTGAAAGGTTTACTGTACCTTCATCTCTACTTGATAATGATTGCCAAAGTACTTTATATTCCACTCACCAGTTTCTCCATGTACTCACCAATACGGATTTCTATTACTGGGCTTACTTATTTTTTTTTTTTTGGTGGGGAGGTGTAATCTGATGGGCATAGAATGTTATCTTGTATATGCTT